ACTAATGAATAGTGGGATTGACCGTCACATTATAATGCCCCCCATGGCTGAAAAGGCGAGCATGTTTGGTGGGATGGGGATTTGAACCCGCGACCCTCAGGTTGCAAATCAAGCACCCTAACCACCTGTCCCAGAAGGAAGTCATAGAGAAAGTCTGTGATTGTGCAGTCTGTTTTGTCTTTTATTGCCAATCCATCTTTGATGGTAGATCCCTGTGACAAAGATGAAGTCAAAGTGTAGTAGTAAATTTTGTTGTATTTCAAAATTTGTAGTACACATGGAGTTAAAGGTAATTTTTATCTAACCTTTTTATCAAAATGTAATAAATTCTGGTTTCCATCAAACACAAAGATATTCTAAATCACACAATTGGGCAAAACCATCAAGTTGACCACAAAACTGTTTAAAAGCCTCATATTCCCAGTACATTTTTACAAGTTCCAACTCATGAACATGTCAAATGATAAAAGCAACCTTTTGCCATCAAAATATCTAGAACAGCTTATATGACCTGAATAACAGCTTCCTCCTAATCAGTTACAACTTTTTTTCAGATCTGGGATGCACTGAAGTCCTTTACATTGATCAAGGCTTGTTTTCTTGTTCTTGTGTCTTTTGTTGAAGAAAAACATACACAAAATGGAAAGCAACTTCCCCAAGGGGAACAATGAATCGTGTTAATTTGAAGGAATCCAAGAGGAGCCATGACAAAACATCAATCCATCATACAGTGCTTGCTCTTGACAATTGCCAAAGATGAATTTTGGTGCTGAAGGCAATTATGCGAGAGTTACACATAATTTTCACCTTCAACATGTGCCTATGGTCCATCTCTATGTATGATGAAATGTCGAAAAGATACTCTGCAGTGAACTCAGCAGTTTGTTTGTTCTTTTGCATATAGTGGCTTGTGGGTTCTTGTGAGGTCGTATTGTTTCTGCACTGGATCAAAAAATATTACTGGCTTGTCGTTGGTATCATGGCAAAATAAGCTTTAGTAATCTTCACTTCAGTGTGGTTTGGGATAGGTTTGTGGTCATTCAGATGGACTGGGCCTTTTACATCTAGGGCTATACTCAATCATGGTCATTAGAAGTAGTGTAAAATTTCAGTGGCCAACAGTGGGTTAGTACTGCATGTATACTGCTCAGAAATGTTATCAGCTGAATACAGTTGACAGTACTGTCTTGTAACCCCTATTTTCTGACAACTTAATTTTGATAGAGACTTATGTGGCCTTGGTTCCAATATACACTCATATTGAGTAAAATTGCCAGCAATTAATACCTTTGATGTGATTATAGTGACTAAATGTAACAGGAAGTACTCATAAATGTATAGCATTATATGACAATACGAAGAAGGCATGTGAAGAGTATTTACCACAATTACTTAAGACACAACAGCACATACTTTAAATCATGTGAAGATTGATTAAAATCATCTGATGACCTTACTAAATTAACTACGAAATTTGAGACAAAAATAACACGAGCACAGAAATATCTTTTATATCTTCAAGATCTTGTTGGTATTAACACATGCTTAATTAGAATTTTAACCTATTTTGGAATAGAGGACAGTTGTACCTTATTCTATAAGCTAATCATTGTGTTGGAAAAAAAAATAAAACTGGTATTTATGTAGCCTATTCTATCATTTTCCAAAGTGTGTCATTTATTACTGTTGTTTCCAGAATATTGCAAATACGAAACTGGAGGCTTTTGTCCTGTTGATCCCCTAGATAATCATATAAGCTTCAATAATATTACCTCTTATCCTTCTTTTCTCAAGAGAAAACAATAGATTTTAGGCTATTCCCATAAGGGCCCGGCATGGCCAGGTCGTTAGGGAGCTCGACTAGCAGTCTGCAGGTTGCGGGTTCGAATCCCCGTCCCACCAAACGTGCTCGCCCTTTCAGCCATGGGGGCATTATAATGTGACGGTCAATCCCACTATTCGTTGGTAAAAGAGTGGCCCAAGAGTTGGCGGTGGGTGGTGATGACTAGCTGCCTTACCTCTAGTCTTACACTGCTAAATTAGGGACGGGTAGAGCAGATAGCCCTCGTGTAGCTTTGCGCGAAATTCAAAACAAAACAAACTATTCCCATAAGATAATTCTTCCATCCCTGGAATCATTGTAGTAGTCCTCCTTTGAACCACTTCCAATAAATAATTTTTTCTTCTCAGATAAGGAAGCTAAAAATATATATACACTCTATCCCAAGTGAGGCATAACTAATTGAATACATATTGATAGATTCGTATTGTAATAAACTGTGGTGCAGTTAGAATAAATAAAAGCCAGTGAAGTCCTTGTGGGTTCCCTCAGGTAAAACTACTAATATTTTGATATGTTTGTTTCAGGAAATTGATGGAAAATCCTTGCTACTAATGAAAAGAAGTGATGTATTAATGGGATTGTCAATCAAACTTGGCCCAGCACTGAAAATCTACAATCATGTGAAGCGTCTTCAGACTGGACTCACAAATGGACATCTGCTCTAGCATTTTTGTCTTCGTTAATCATATAAAGATCATATCATCCCATATCCCTGTTATCCAAGTTCTAAATTACCTGTACAGTGTTCGAGCAAATATCTGTTGCAAGTCACTTTTGTTAAATGTCCAAAAATACTGAATTTATTGTCAATCATAAGTTTTGCCATTTGTTAAGGATGTAACCCCTGTAATTTTAGTAATAATTGGGACTTTTTTAAGTACAAAAACATGCTTACAAAATTTAATGTTCTCCCAAAACACCTGGATGTTGATAAAGTATTTCCCCAAAAAGTAGCCTAGATCTAAAAAAAAAAGTTTAAGTTAAGAAATAAAGGCTTCATAAAATGCTGTTTTAGTTTTTAGATCCTTCTAAAGAAACAGTTAATCGTAAGCATGTGTAATCCATTTGTGAGTAGGGAAAAGCATTAGGTCTTTCTTTCTGTCAGAGTTGTCAATTAATCCTTAGATATGGCTTTATTTTAAAAAGTTAAGCATTTCTGTGTTATTTGATATTTATTACTTCTCAAATTACGCAGGTGTTTCGTTCTTATCCTAAGTCGTAAAACAGTATTGAGTGTTTGTATATTTGAATTGTGTAAACTTGCTGGTGAGTTAAAATGAAAGAAATATTTTTGTTTCTAAATGGTTACCGGTAAGTATAAAAAAAAAGTATGGCTTCTAAATAATATATATAGATATATATAAATATTTATTTTAGTAAAATTAAAATTTTGGAGTTATATTAAATGAAGAGTAAGCTTGGTTTACTTTTCAAAGTATTAAAAATATATATCATGAGCTTATGTTTCTGTAAGAAATGTGTTAAATATGAAATTATCTGTAATTCATCATTTTGTATTTACTTTGAAACAGTATTCTTCATTAATGCCTACTTGAAGTAAATTAGCTGTATGAAAATAAAAGTATTTGAAGCGTGATGGCCTTTGTCTACCTAGTTATGTTTTTCATCCAGTTCTATATGAAGCATGAGAGAACATACTTATTGTAAATAGAATACTGTTACAAAAACTATCTTATACAAAGCCATCAGTTGAAAAAACAAATCAGAGCATCTTCCTTCCTAATACACTATATTTCCAAAAGTATTTGGACAGCCCACCCGAATTTGAGATCGGCCATTGTAGTGAACTATGGGTATTGTCCTGAGGAAATGGAAGAGAACCAATTAACCAACACCAACTGGCAGGGGAAAATCACCAATTAGAAACTTTCTTCCCTTATAACCCCTTCAGCCTCTTGATTACCATTTTTTTATGTATTCATTTCCTACAGGCTGCATCCTTTATATAGGGATCCACCTCACTCTCTCTTTTAAAAATCTATCATTATTAAATAACTTATACCTTAGAATTGCAAAATAATTCCTTTTTTTCAGTGTTCTACAAGTCTAACCAAGTTTCATTAATTCCCATTATACCATAATCTTCCCTTTCAACTAAAGCCCCGTACTGATATAATTTATTAGAATATATACTAAGTTTATTCATGAATTTATTATGTTTACCTTTAAACTTGGCAGACTTATCTTTAAAACTATTATTAAACTTGTTGTACTCTAAATTTTGTATTCCGAAAGTTGTTTATTCCTAAGTTCCCTCACCAATATGCAAGTTTAGTTTAAACTGTCTTTAATGAATAGACTTAGAACTTCCATAAAACAATTGCTGCCTAACAGGCTTAAGCAGAGCCCATCTCTAGCGTATACAATTTACCCTAAAAGTTAAGTTAAAATGTTAAGTTTCCCCTCTCGTTTTTTTTATGGAAGGTGAACATGAAACAAAGTTTTTTGTACATACATGTTTTTAGCTGTTTGTGTGTTTTTGACAATAGAACATTGGTCAAGGAAATGTGGTTAAATTCTTTTCACTCTAGCTACCTTTTGTTTAGGGTCATTGCTCTTTGTTTTTAGCTGTGTGTGTGTTTTTGACAATAGAACATTGGTCAAGGAATGTGGTTAAATTCCTTTCACTCTAGCTACCTTTTGTTTAGGGTCATTGCTCTTTGTTGTCATTTGCACACTCTGGAGGGAAAGATTGCTGTATAGTAGAACACACTATGTAAAGAAGGACAGTAACATTTCCATTGGCAGGTCAGGTAATACCTTGAGGACATATTCTCTCTAATGTTTCTATTGAAATTACCAACAATGGTGTAGATAAAGCACATCCATTCTGGGAGAGAATGTGTTTTGCATATAATTGTTATACTTCTCAGTCTTATAGAAAAGTTATTCAGAACTATACAATATTTTGATTGTCTTCAGATCTTGTACAGCTCAGCCTTCTGAGTAAGAACAGCACTGTATTGTGTTCTCGTTGGCTCAGATTTGTACTGTTGTTTAATAAAGATTGCTCACATTGTTTTACACCGTATTTGGTCTTTCTTCAACTCGGTGAATTAAGGTTATTAAAAGTTGGACCAGTTCACCCCTATTTAAAAAGTGGGTGGGCAATGGCTTTTTGACTCGTCCCCACCACCTATGTTCTCAGTCTTCCTGACGTTTCTCTAGCTATTGCAGTTACTTTTCTTATTTGAAGGGGCAAACAGTAAACCTGAAAGTACTTTATATTTTTATATTCATGGGATAATCCCCCACAATGTAAACCTCTTAATAATCTCGTTTCTCATTGCAAGCAGCAAGAGACTGGTACCCGAATGCTAACTGAACCTGCCCTTATAACCTTAACGTTTTACTACTGTGCACCGACAGGAGGGGGGGGGGCAACTGCCCAGGGGCCCGGGCGAATGAAACCTGGTTATGCCGTAAAGCCCGAAAAGCATCTTTAGGCTATATCTTCATTTAATGATAAAAACCATAGTTTTTGTCTTTTCTTTGCATATAGACGCTTGATACATTAAGAACGACTGAAATCATAATTTAAGTAATAATTAATATGTATTTGTTACTTTATAGACTTAATAGATATTTGTTGTTACTGTTACGACAGCGGGGGTCACGTGACGCTAGTAACACGTCATATTCTCGAACGTTTCCGTCCCTGACAGTTGAGTCGAGCACGTGAGACGTTCGTTGTGAATTATAGCGTGACCATTGAAATTAAGTGAATTTCAAAGTTGTATTGAGAAAGAATAAACTAGTTTTATTTAAGAAAGGACTTGTGTCGCTAAAGTTTCACCCGAAAGAAATTATACGGGAAGTTAACTAACGACCAGAGACGTAACATTACTTTATTAACGTTTTTACGCTTATACTGTAAGGTAAAAACGGCTGCTCCTATGATTTTGTCTGGTTTATGAGCTCGTTGCTGTCCTAATTTTGGATCTTTTTAATAAATTCTTGAA